GATGCTCAGGCAACTGCGGCGTTGTCGTCCGTTGGTTTTCTTGAGATTAATATTGAAACGTTGGAATCCATCTTTCGACGCGAGACTTTGAACATCGAAGAGGTGAAGATCTTTGAAGCGGCGATGCGATGGGCGGAAGCGGAATGCGCTCGTCGTCAGCTGGACCCGGAGATCGCCTCAAACAAGCGAGCGGTTCTCGGTTTGGCGTTTGATCTGATTCGCTTTCCAGTCATGAAGTGCGAAGAGTTTGCCAATGGTCCGGCCCAGTCCGGCTTGCTAGACACTCGAGAGACTGTCGACGTGTTCTTGTACCATTTTTCGACGACCAAACCTGAGCTTCGGTTCCCTTGTGAGCCACGCAAGGGTCTGCTGCTCAGGCGGTGTTTGCGTTTCGAATCGAGCGCTTATCGTACGAACCAGTGGCGGTACCGGGGCCGATGCGACAGCATTCAGTTCTGTACCGATCGCCGCGTGTTCATCGCCGGCTTCGGTCTGTACGGATCGAGTAGCGGTGCCGCCGAGTACAAGTCGACCATCGAGTTGAAGAAGGCGAGTACGGTGCTAACTCGTATCTCTAGCAGTTTCTTCTCAGATGGCAGTTCAAACACCTTCCCCATATTGTTTGATCAACCGGTGCAGACCGAGCCGGATGTATTCTATACGGTGAGCGCTGTGCTGGACGGCACTGAGCTGAGCTACTTCGGCCAAGACGGTATGCAGGAGGTTCAGAGCGGTAACGTTACGTTTCAGTTTCGCTGCTCCAACGAAAGTACAAACGGTACTGGCGTGCAAGGAGGCCAGATCCCGGAAATACTCTTCTATTCGTAGTGTTTCTTGCTGGTGGAGCCTACCATGTCATCGCTTGTACCTTCCTCGTGTATAGTTCGTGATTCTGTCTTCATGTACTTTGAATTCAGACTTATGTCTATCATTCAGTTGTAGCATTTTCATTTTGTTATCTTTCAGCTAGAAAAGCAAAGAAGAGCAGTTTTTTGTTATGCTGTCGAAAGCATTTGCAGTTGACAGAATTTTGTACCTAGTGTCAGTTGAAGGTAAACATTTAAAATTTATTAATTAAAATTCAATTTTCTGAGTTGGTGTTTATACCAAATTTACCATTGTCATTTTACGGTTCACAAATTTACTCCATGCTTCCATATATTACGAATAATATTCCATTCAGTTTTTAAATTTTGACATCGCTGTTCAAAATTGTGCGAATATACTACCTTATTTTCGTAGTTCATTATTCAGTACTGATAAATGCTATATAGACAGGCGCTTCTTTCTGCTTTTAACACCCGCATACGTATGCAGTGTACAGCAGCAAAACGTTACGTAATGCACATAGACAGTAAGCGATGACGTCTTATGGCAGAAGAAACTATGAGAGTGCAAACTAAACAGGATAACAAACAGGATTTTATGTGCTGCCCAGTTCTGATTTCCAGGATGATGTAGTTTTTTCATGTGATCTTACTTTGACTCTAGGAGGCTGTCAAATCTGTGTGAAGGGGGGTTGTTGATATCTTTCAATGAATGAGACAGATTGTCAAAAATAATTCGCACAATGGTCTTCATCACCATATCACATTGCAATCTTCCAGATCTTGCGAAAATACATTGCTGCACTAACGTTTACCATGATAGTACTCTACGATGACAAGTAACAAGAAAGGTTGCAGAGAATTTACTCTAATATTAAAATTTTATGATCCCGAATTAATTGCATTAAATTTTTTGCACAGAACGCCGCATTTTTCCTTCGTCTCGATTTGAACGATTCAGTTGGAAACGTTGCCCATTTTTAAGACCCTGACTCTGTCTAATATGCGTTTCCAATAACATTGCTATGCGCCATCCTGATCGGTGTTTGTTTACTTTAGTGAAAATGATCAGAAATTCTATAATTTTTCCAAGGCTACAGCACACAGTCCTCTAAGAGAATTTTGCCTTGAGCATATGAAGGTGAGTCATCAATTCTAAGTTACAAGAAAACTAGGGACGATGTTGGATTCCGGACTTCAGAAATTCGCTTTGGTTCTGCACCTTGCACTCTATACAGCAACTGTTGTTCTACTTCAGTGATTTGTGTGCAAGGCTACGGTTGATCATAGCAAAGTTTTAGATTATCGACGTTCACTCTTTTGACCAGAGAGCAATTGCCTTCTTCCATTCAAAACGGATTTATTATCCTATAGTAATAACGAAGGGAATTCAGGTAGCTTCGATTAGTCTGTACAGCAATTTGCAATTGATGAAGAATGGTCTAATGTAATATCGAACCTACGAAGCAGCGCAGCTTTTGAATAGCTTTTTTACACTTAGGTATTTAATCATTGTTTAATAACCTGTTTTGGTGCACATTCTCGCTGTTTGTTACCGAGGACTTTCTTCATGACCTTGTTGTAAAGCATGGACAACGAAGCCAGGGTGTTCCAGTTGGTTGTCCTCAGTTATCTGCGCTTTCAGTGTTCGGATCTTTTGCCCCGTATAAAATCTTTATAATTTTTATGCTGAATGCAATAACCTTATGCTTTCAGAATTAAAAACAAATTACTTGATATGGGTCCTATGCAGAAAACTAACATTTAGAAGATATATGGCACAAAATAACCGCTAATCTGGGAAAATGCTTTTTTGGTGCTGTACAATATCTTCAGTTACTGTTATTTTAGTTGGTGGTCGAACTCAAGGTTGTTGTTCGGTGGTGCATTGAGGCCATTTTGCATTTATAGTACCATAGAGCAATAACTTATTTAAAACGTAGCTAAACGATATTTACCAGAATTGGACGAATTTAAAATTGGTTTTCTTAATGAGGCATTAATCACCCAGTTCGTTGACGTTAGGCGTGATAAGAGGTACGAGCCGTATCCTGATTTGACGAACCATATCACACCTGTTGCCAAAAAACTGCTTAACAGGTAGTGAGGACCGAACGTTCGGCTATCGGTTCCAATTATACTCTTTGCTGCCGATAACCCGAATGATCAGCGAATTTTGCCAAAGTCAATGCGACACGCACTGAAACGTCGGTACCAGTGAGTCGTCCGATTCACTACCTTATTTGCCTTGTTATTTAATATATCATTTTTGTTGCCCAGAACCGAACATCTTAATCTAGTGCGACTGTTCATCCAATTTATTATCTAACTTTAATTTCGAACGATGCCACAAGTATTTTTTTCTACAGACAACTTACTAGTCTCTAGGATTTTTCCGCCGGACTGTCTTACAACTTACTAGTCTCTAAGGTTCTTGCGGGAGACTGTAGAAGATCTAGCGTTCATGAAATTTTGTATGTTGAATTATTGTTCAATATTTGAAAATATGACATTCAGCCGTTAAAAATGTGGTTGATGTGCCTGCGTGTCTTTGAAGCCTTTCCAAACTTTGTATAGCATAAGTTATTGAGTTTTTGGTTGTATTCAGGTCTTGTGTCGAATGAGGAGATGTTCAAGAGGCAATACCTTAAATAAGAGGAGAATCAATTTTAATATTTATTATGTATGAAATGAAACACAGCTATTTATTATCTACTTTAGTTGAGTGGTGGAGGTACGTTTATTCTATAGTCATTTTTTTCGTTCAGGTTTCCAGCCGGATGGTAGAAAGCCACTACAACCACTTTCCTGGTTTTAAACGAACTCAATCTTGAAACACCGAATTCTTTGCTGCCTTTCCATATCATTTGCGTGAAATTCTGGCATTCTGAAAATGTAGTAATATCTGATGAAGAAGAAAAAAGTAAGACGCAATAGCAAATATTAGTGGCACTGGCGAGTACGTTAATGAATTTAAAATCGCATAACCGGTTCGTTACTATTTTCCGGTTATGCCAGGAAACTGGTCGCACTGTGAAGCTTCAGAAGTTTACACCTGTAGTAAATGATTGAGGAGAATCCGTACCTCATGATCAACCTGATGACCATTAGTCGGGCCATAGTTTTTGGACGAACACGTTGAATGTGTCTTTCCACACAGCTTGTTTGCCGTGGAATGTTTGTGTTTCACTGACGGTCAGTTGTTCTTCCAGCTGTGAGTTTTTTTTCGTTCAGCTGTTGCCATCTTCCGCCTAATTAGTTGTTCACTGCAGCCGTCTTTGAAGGGCGTGTAATCAGTGTGAAATGCACGAATGCTCACAAAACCGCTCATGCTAGCAGGAGACGGTGCGGCAGGAAGTGAAACATGGTCTTGGTGTAGTCACGCGTCGTCTGACGTCCGGCGAACATGCTTTGATGTTTATGCGATGGCACATAAGCAGGTCACGTGCCATAGCATCTTTGCAACGAAAGCGATTTGGCTATGGCGGATAAAATGACGCGAGATGCATCTGGCACCGCACTTACTGAAGTACACTGAAGCCTTCAGCCGCTCACTGGACAACCAGGAACAAGGGGGCGGTGCACATCGTGAAAAATCCGGTCTTGGACGAGTTATGCATCAACCGGTTTCATATGAGACTACATTTGGCAATACTTGCAAATTTCGAGTCAGATTCTACCATGTGTCTCATTCTGTATGGAAATGAACGAAAACTAATGCTATTCGTTGGCTTCTTTCGTTTGCATTAAAAAGTGAAATGACTTCTAAGACTTTTCCAAGAGAAACGGAATCTGGTCTGAGGATAAATTGGCTTATGAATTTAGCCAAGTTCAATTTCGTTAATAATTAGTTTCTAGTACTAACCTGAAAGAGCATATGGAAAAAACTTACTTTCAGACCATCCGGGTTTATCGTAGTTATAATGTACCATCTCGTCTGACCAAAACTTAGTCACGGCGCTGCCACTTGGAAGTCGAGAGGCATCTTCGACATCGGCTAGAAGCAGATTTTCTCCAAAACCTGAACAACGCAAAGAAAACGGTGAAGAGATCGCCCCATCATCCATCAGCCAACGCATAGGCATCTGAAAGCAATACCGTTTCGATCTCTGTAGAGTAGACGTCCTTTCCTGAGTATTTCCTGAGCCCACAACTCGGCTTCAGATGCAAGACTCTGACACCAGTTCAACGGAGGACAACCATGTCTTTCTCTGATCATGTTGTGGCATTCGAGACATTCGCGTTGAAAAGCAATGTCATCTTAAACAAATCATTTTGATATGACGACGCAATCTGGTTACACGAACAAAGGTTTGAAATTCCGTATGAACTGAAGGATTGAAGGATTGATCATAACTCGATTCATGGACTACTGTCGAGGCAAATGCTACTGTTTAATGCTAC